AGCAGACAACACACTCAGAGATGTAGGAAGGGGACTTTAGTCAGTGCCAGATCTCCCCCTGACCTCAGCTTCAGCTCATTCATCACTAGCCCAGGAGAACCATTTAAACCTCACTTAGGAAACCTCCCGGGTATACTGATTCACCATCCAAACCTACTTCATCAAAAAGGTCTTAAGTCTGCCTTTAAAAGCCCCTGCACACTCAAGAGGTATGAAGAGGGTATGAAGAACTTCCTGACAACCTCTGTCTGGTTCAGATGATGTCATCTCAGCTTCTCTTTTCCAGACCATATTCTCCTAGTTCCTTCCCAACAGCTCCAACTTCCCCTTCAGGTATCTTCTCCTACAGATGACTACTTCAATCCAGTTGACTTTGAAAACAAAGCCAGACTTGTTGGAAGACAGTTTCAACTCATGGCAACTACCATGTGTTAAGAGTGGCACTTTCCTGTTTGTAAGCTTTAATGAGGCAGAATGCCAAGCCTTTCTTTTGTGTTGTTATCAGGTGCTGTCGAGTAGAGTATGAACTCTGTCCTTCCCTGCACCAGCCTTGTCACCCTCAACACATTCGAACTCATGGCTACAGACTCCGTCTCATTGAGGATCTTCTCTTTCACTGATCCACCACTTTCCACTCATGACATCCCTGTCCAAGAAACAGCCTCTCCTAACAACATGAGCAAAGTATATGAGACGAAGCTTTGCCAGCCTTGCCTCTAAGAAGCACTCTGGCTGCATTTTCCCTAAGACATTTGTTTGTTCTGAGCACTCTGGTTGTACTTTCTCTGTTTTCATATCTTTCTGTTCTTTTGGCAATCCATGGGATATTCGGCAGGCACTCTTCTCCAAGAGCACAAGTCAAAGGCATTGATTCTTCTCCTGTCACCCTTATTTATTGTCCAGCTCTTAGATGCATCGCAGATGACTGGAAAAACTATAGTCTAAATCAGGTGCCCAACAGTCTTGAAGCTGACATCACGGCACTTTAGGACTCTGGAGAGGTTCCTGAGAGCAAACTTTCCCAATACTATATGTCTCCAAATCTACTAACTGCTGATACCAACGGTGAGACCCCTGGGCGGGTAAAAACCACCAACGTTGTGTCTATTCGCCAAATGTAAACCAGCTGCACCAGCCAGGGAACTCTGGCCTATCTACGTATGTCCCTTGAAAAACTTTCTATTTTCCCACTTCCATAGGTTTTCTTTCCTCTCCTTTGGAATTCCAAATTCATAAGGCGGCCATGAGTTGGAAGAGACATAATCGCAAGGGATTTTTTTTTTTTACTGTTGTTGTTGTCCCTCCTGCTGAGCTGAATCCTATTCATTCTTAAGAGTCTAGCGTGACTACTTCTAGAAAACTCTGCCTGTGGAGCACTCTTCTCTCTCTTACAGCACTTCCTTTTTTAAAAAAATTTTATTATTATTATTTTATTATTGTGTGTGTGTGTGTGTGTACCGTCAAATCAGATCTGACTGGTACAGGAGGAGAGTGGCCCTCCTTTCCCGGCAGAGCATCTGATGGATTTGAACCATGCACCTCTGGGATTGCAGTGCAGCTTCTTGCCACTAGGCCACCAGAGTTCCCCTAGCACTTCTTTTTTAATAGAATGATTTTTAAATTTCTCCTAAACAAGTTAGGAACACTGGCTTCCTTTGCATGTATCCCATGAAGATTTCCTTCACTGTCCACACTTCCTTCATTAAAGAGCAGTGAAGTTGTTTTGTCTCCCCTTCTGGTGCCTGTACATCAGGGATCCCCACTGGCACTGTGGTTAAAGTGATATGCTGATAACCAAAAGGTCATCAGTTCAAAAGCACCAGCTACTCAGTAGAAGAAATGTGGCAGTCTGCTTCCATAAAGATGTATCATCCTAGACAACCTCTGGGCAGTTGTCCTTTATCCTTTAAAGTCACTGTGAGTTGGAATAGGGAGCTCTGGTGGTCTAGTGGGTAAAGAACTGTGCTATCACCCCAAAGGCATGTGGTTCGAATCCCCCTACTACTCTAAGGCGCAATCTCCTCCTATGTGATTTACAGTCTCTGAAAACCCGGTGGAGGGCCCGCTCATACCAACATAAGTTAGAAAAGACTTAGTGGTAGTTTGTTTGATTTGGCCTATACATCAGAGGCACTTGGTAAATATTTGCTTATTGATTAAGTTTACTGAAAAAAGCTCTTTTCCCCCGAAGGGCTGAAAATTTGAGCAGTCTCCTCTCTGCAAGGCTGCATTAGCAGATTCTCCTGGACCAGATGAGGAATGAGTAGGTGCTGTGATAATTCACCAGTATCATTTCTATAGGCTCATTTAAGGAAGTTCCAAGGTACTTGAGTCCAAGTTCAAATTAAGCTCTTGCCATTATGTCCATGGGCTGCTTATATATCCTTTTTTGAGGCCTATGTCTTCTTTCAACAATGCCGATGGAGTTTTTTTTTTTTTTATTTTAAGCTGTGTATGTCCTCTGGCAAGTCCCTTTTAAAATGCTGCAAAAGCATCTTTGTAACCCAGACCTTCTTGCCACGTTATGTTTTGTGTAACGGGAACATTACACAACGGGAACATTACACGGGGGTGAACATTCAGCCTGCAGTGCTTTTTCGACTCAAAGCACCAGATAAAGCGAACATCATCACTAATAGACTGCAGTAACTTTTATACAGTACTAGTTCCCATTACAAAATTTATATTGCCAAAGTTTTCAGGGCATAAACATTTCTGTGGAAATTGGTTTGATCAAACCCAGGCTCCAAAGCGGCTTTAAACACATAGCAATTACTGCAACCACGAAGAGACAGGTAGACTATGGACACAAACCTATAATAACATTCCTAATGATTTCTTGGGAAGTATTTTTGCTCCTCTGCATCAAAAAGAAGAAAGCTAAGAAATGTAAAATATTTAAAGAGACAGCTTAAGAACAAAACTTCTTTCCAAATCCCAAAGGTGATAATTCAGTAGGGAAGGGTCAAGGAAATACAAGTGCTGAGCCATCACAGATTCATGTACACGAAAGCTGGTTCCAATATGGACATACCCTTCAGGGAGTCAAGGGAACTCAACCACTACTTGCCATTTCTTAACGTGGTTTCTCCAAGGCAGAGTCCATCTCTTATGGAAAGGGCCCTTTATTAATCTTTAGTTAATAAGACAGTGAGGCAACAGAGAACCCAGCAGCTGTGTGATCTTGGGGGAAAGAGCAAGGTTACTTCACCTTATATCTTCCTAGCTTCCCACACAAGGGACCTAAGGGCACCCAGGAGAACAGTGATTTCCCACAGAAGTGCCAGGTGCCATCAATACCAGGCCAAAGGTAGGCCTTTGCCCTTTCTGTGGTTTTCCCTGACTAGACTTAAAAGAATGGATTTCTGGGGGGGAAAAAAGGCAGTTTAAAGACAGACATGTGTTTAGATATAATCACTCTTTTTGAGGGTGTGCCTGTTTTGAAATGGTATGATTCACCAAAACTAACACATCCCCAATTTCTCACACGCCTTCCAGAAAGAGAACGCAGCGCCCAAAGGCTCAGGGGAAACTGGGCTCTCACATTTCACTACCAGTGAGCTTATTCCAGCGCTGAGCTTTCATGCTCAAGGAGAAAAGTGCAAACTCCTTGGAGGAAAGAAAGGGAGGGGGGAAAGAAACAAAACGACCTGTCACAATTCCTTTTAGCACTTATGACTAGTGTTAACTTACATGCTCAGAGTACAATAAAAAGCTTGCAAACTGCTGCTAAAAAGGTGCCTTGACCTTTTAAAATGGGAACTTTCTCATCCCACATCCACATTAAATAAGTGAACCTTAACAGCGCTATAGTTTTAGATTAATAAAAGGAATGAGGTTGAAGTTCCAGAAAAAGGGTTCCCTGAAGACTGCAGGCTAATTAGGATGCTCTAGACCTACATTGTAACAGCGGGTGGAAAGCTGCCCTGAACCTTTTAGCCACTGTCGCTGCCCACTGTTCAGAGTCAGTTCTGAAAAAGGCAGGTAGAGAGTTATGAGAAATTAGTAAATAAAAAGTCCTGGGCGCGCCCTCTCACAGACTGCGATTCCAGGGCAAGCTATGGGCTCCCATCCGCAGAGGAGCCTCGGCTATCCTGGGTCTGTAGCGCAGCCGCCAAGCCAGGCGCGCACTGAGCAGCGCTGCTGAAAGAAGTTGGAGAGCTCCCAGCTACCCGACTGGATTCAGCGGTGGGCGCGGGGAATCCCTTCCAGCGCCGCAATCAGAAAAGTTTTGAAGAGTAAGTAGACCCTAGACTGACGACAGACCCATCAATTTCTTGAGCATAAGAAACACTTCCACGTCGTCTCCTGCTAGCCATAGGCTGCTAGCACAAGGCCATCAGCTCAGCTCAAACCAGGCGCGTCCCGCGCCTCCCCTTTACCGACCACCCACAACTCAATGAGAGGGCGTGGAGCCAGGGCAACCCTGGCCGGTTTGTGATTCCCTAAGGCAGCGTCTCCAGGTTCTCTGGCCTTTGGGTATAGAACTAGTACCCAATAATCCTGGAGCAACGGCAGCACTACCAACTTCACTCTGCAGCCCAGGACCTTAGCTTTCATGCCCACTCAGGTTCCTCCAAAGGACGCGCGGCACAGATCACGCGTCCTCGACACTCCCCTCTCTACATGTCCCCCCAAACTCTTCCCGGGAGGCCTTACAAGGCACAGAAGACACCCCTAATACTCCTAGGGCACTAGCCAACCATCCCCACCTGCGCCTCTCCAACCCTTCTTGTCGCGTTCTTCACGCACTGTACGGTTCGCGTTTACAGGGAGTCAGAAACAAACCACGGGAAAAAGCCTTCGCGAGGAGCCTCCCTACACCCGCCCAGTCACTGAAACAAAAGCAGAGGGAGGAGGGAGGTGGGAAAGGAGGCGGGAGGAAGGTTTAGAAAGAGGATGGGGAGAGCGCTAAGAAGGAGCTAGAGAGAGGGGACAGGGTGGGGACCAAAGACTGGGGCGGGGGACCCCGCTCCATCTCCGCGCGGTTTGAAGCTTACATGCCCAGGTCGCTGTAGGTGTTGAAGAACTCCATTTGGTTGCATGCCTGGATCCAGCCCACCACCCAGGTTTCGTGGCGGGGGATGGGGGGCATGACCACGCGGGCCGAGGCTTTGAAGTAGGGGGTCTTGTAGCGCAGGACGATGGGCGAGGTCTCCTCGATGCGAGTGGGGCACTGGTCGATGGTGGCGCATACATCGTACACCACGATATTCTCGCGTCGGATCCGCGCCTTGCAGGTGATGCTTTGGATACAGCCCATCCTGCCGCCAGGCGCCGGCGCG